ACCACTATGCCACCAGGCCTCTAAAGAAGGAAGCAACACAATAGTGAATAATTGAAAATTAAGCAGGGTTTCAGATAAATTTCAAATTTTACTGTTACACTTTTTCTGTTCATTATATGAGAGGGCTTTCATGGAAAAATTTATGCTTTCATTCTATTTTCCCCACAAACTTTCTGAAGCCCCTTATATTTTGTATCATTTAATTGGTATTATAATACTCTGCATATCTTATGAGACAAATGGAGTCCTTAGAATCTAGTTATAAATCACCAGAAAATAAATAGAAGATAGAAATGGTTTTTCATATATTTTCACTGTATGGAACAATAATTAAAAAAGAATAAATTAAAATTATTTTGTTTTAAAACATCTATTGGATTTACAGGCTGTAATGGAAGGAAAATTTAAAAGCAAAATAGCTTGTGTTCCATGAAACTACTAACTTCCTGGCCTGATATATTGGAGTCAATGAAGTATTTTAGGATGAAATCAATTTGAAATTTACTACTCTTCACATTTTTTGAGATGGAAACTTGACGAGCTCATCAGAAGTTACCATAACCGAGTCATCTGAAGATGATTATGGATACGAAGAGGTAATTTGCTCATTTTAGATGCAGACTCTGTAAATTCATTGCTGGCATTCCTATAAATGTTCATTTTATTTTTTTGAAGCATGTAAACATTTTTTTTTTGCCTCATTAGAGTGTCAGTGTTTCACCTGAACTTAGATAATATCAGCTGGTTTCGGAGTGTGATATGATGCATTGATTTGAGCATTCAAGTTGATTAACAAACCTGACTCTTTTGGTACTTACAGACTCATGCTATAAACTGTCCTTCTGTCCAGCAGACATTTCACTTCCTGTAGTCTGCTCTGGGAAGGGTTTTCCAGTTTCTCACCACTCAGCGGGAGACCAGGTCTCCACCTTGCCTGCACTTCTGTGTAAGGTGGTTCATGTTTCAAAGCACTCCCTTGATTGTTCCTTGGGCACCTATCATTACTTCTGAACCTAGAGGAATAAAGTCACTCTTAGATGTCAGGATTAGTGAGGAAACTGTGGAAAAGGAAGCCTTACAATTTGTGTGTTGGGTGGAGAATAAGTATTACAAAATACAGCAGTTTTATTTTGGATTTTTATTCTTTTTTTTTTTTCACTTAAAATTATGGAAATTCATTCTCCCATAATTTTGGACATTACAAGAGATCAGCAAGCTCAGAGAGAATCTGTTTTTTAAAATAAATAATTTTATTGGGGTAAAATGTGAAGTGGAAAAAATATAAATGACATTATACTGTATGAAGGAATGCATGTAAAAGGCTTAGAATGGTCATTGGCTCATAGGAAGCATGCAATCTGTATTACCTACTAGCAGTAAAATTAGAGTCGATCAAGCAGTGGACTTTAGAGATTTACAGTTGCCAGTAATGAAAAAAGTAATGATGGAGTTAAAAACATAGGATAAAGAATACATGATGGCATTCAGCACCTTTTTTCCTCTGACAGAGGTGCAAGAATACATTTGCTCTAAGATAAAAGCTACTGTCGATAAATTAATCTCATATTTATTAGAAATTAGTGAT